ATCTCGTAGTTCAACTTTGCCGAAATGACTTCACTTTCTTATCTCTGTCCACTGTGTGTGGATCGCATTCCCTCCACTTCTCTTATAGTTATTTTAATCACATTTCATTATTATAAACACAAAACAGAGTTGCTCAACAGTCAATCAATCAATCAATCAACGAATCAATCCAACAAACAAACGAATTCAATTGATCAATTTCACAATGGTCAATAGAACAGCAAAAATACATAATTATATTACCGAGAGTATGTATGTGTGTGTGTGCATATATCACAGGAGTCACACGATCTCAACATCGTATCAACTAAGACAATCAGTAGATCCAATTAGTGCATAAGACTATTATTGATCCAGCATGTCTACCATGCTAAATGCGAACAAGTACTCAAAGGCATTGGTCACGTCAAGGTTATTTGTCTCATATTTAGACAATCAAAGAAATGTGCACGCATTAATTACACGTTCACAGATTCGTTGGTTAACATAGAGAAATAACCTTACTACAGACACTTTCATCGAACCACTGTTTGCCATAACATCAGTTAGTACTTAGTGGACTCATTAATATTCACTTGATATCTCTCTGGTGAGTAGTTTGTGTTTAGCCATTCACCTGTGTAATCATTCATGCCTTTTTTGGAGTAGACATTTATTTAGAGAGTGTATGAACTGTGCTATTTTCATCATCATTATTCCATCTGTTAAATACTGACTTGAAAGGTCAACTAAAAGAATGACAAGGCAAGTGAACAACCAACTGAATGACTTTAGAAAGTCAATCAAATCGACGGTAGTTTTTTGGGATTCACAAATTAATCTTGAATTCTACTCTGAAGCGTCTCACTAAGTGTGAGGCTTATGATTCAGGGTGATGAGAGGATTCACTGAAACTCACACTTCAAACCTTCTTATTATGATTAATTTTATTTTCATAGATTTATTAACTTTAAAATATTTTCAAGTATTGGTTTTGTGGGGGATTTCTTTTGATTGGATCGGATGCTAACTAGCGACAGGCCGTATACAGGCAGTTAACTGGGGTTCTAGTGGGAAGCCATGATCAGTAGGGTACAGCAGGGTAAAGATGAGTCAATAACTGATCGAAGAAGACATTTCGAAATGGTCGCGCTATGTCGTCAACTGGCAGAAGTTAGAATTCATGTGCTGGCTGACCATTAAATCAGGTCTCAGTGACTCAGTGGTCTACCAACCCGCTAGCCTTGTAACCAAAAGGTCCTTGTTTCGAATCCCACAGTGTGAGTGTGTACTGATTAGGAGTCCCAAACTAGACTGACGAAACAGCTGTCTGGCAGTACTCCAAGCTGGTTTTCCAATGGTTCTCTAACTAATGTCAGCTTATGATGAAATCCTCCATCCAATGAAACAAAATCCCCACAAAACCAATACTTTAAAATATTTCTCTAATACATATGCATATATATATATGAATGGAAAGCAAATCGATATTTTAAGATATTATTGTGTTTACTATTTAATGCTGCTAGTGGCTTCATCTTAGTAGTAATACTAAACCACAATCTACGAAATCTCAGCTCATATGTAACACTTGAATCCCCGTTCATCGGTATGGGGTGATATGTATGTTGTCAGAATCGGCCAGTTGGTAGAGATAAGCAGACGATGTGTAGATTGGTGCATCTGATAGGTGTATGAAATTATAACAGGAGCATGTGTTGATATGATGAAATTGATTATCACATTCGTTTGAAAAGAACAAGAAGTTCAGCAAAGATAACGATCTTTTCGGCGATTGTATCCATGTAAACTAATCTATATAAATGCGATTGTATAGCTGCTTTTGAGAATGAAATCTTCATCTTTGCTGAACTTCTTGTTCTTTTCAATCAAATATCACATTTGTGTTGATTTAGTAATATCATGGGTGAGTGGGTTGCTGTTACCAGGTGAATTTATCTTTTAGACCATCATTCCTTTTCAGACAATTTGGATTCAGTTGAATATGACGTGATGAGAACAATCCACTTCTCCATGTTAATATCCGCTTTCAATTGTTGAGGACAGAAAGGCTTACTGGCTAAAGGAAGACTTTGTTTGACAAACACGCCTCATTTCGTCTCCCTAATTCGAGCGAACAATGAGTTTGTTTTTCACAATTTTTGTGCATTGACGTTTCTCTATGAAACGTACTGAGTTTCTGGGTTAGGGTGACAAGCCTCACGGTCAAACATCGTGTTTTGAGGGCTTCACTCGATTATTTAACTAGCGAACTATTAGAATAGGTGAGGTTATTTCTACTACCTATAACTGGACAAAGCAATAAGAAAACGTAATTTATTTGAATCATGTTGTGATGTATTTGTGCAACGCACATTTCGAACAATCTGATCCAGCACACACGGACTTGACATTAGAATATATATGAAATTGATATAGAGTGGAGAGGTGAGTAAACAGACTTAGGTCAAGTTGAAAGGACATACTGAAGGTCGAAATACCAATAAAGATCACTAAACTAGAGTAGAGAGGTAGTACATCTGACCTGGCTGGTATCAAAACAAATTTTACCAAAAAGGGTATAATGTTATGACGAAATGTTGCTTTGAACGCATAAAGATGGTTAAAACTTTCTAACTGCCAGCTAGAGCTTTCACAAACTCTTGGAAATGCCCCAAACACCTTTCATTGACAGACTTAAAGAAGTGTAAACATCGAATATATGTCCTGTCTGCTCTGTGATATGTTTCGCAATAGAGGAGCTGGGTCCTCTCTTCTCATCATTAATGCCTTTTGGATATTCCATTCACTTGTGAAACCAGCCCCTTGCTTGCAGAAATCGATGAGTCCTCCCTATTTGTGTTTGTGTTTGTGTGTGTGTGTCCACACGTACATTCAGAGTGGTTAACTACAGTGGGATGTGACATGATTTCCCACAGGTTCTAATCGCTTAGATGGATATATGGGATTTATATTCTAGTAAACTATTAGACAGGACGAGGTTATTTGTAGTATGTCTGTCTGTTTCACACTAGTGAATACAACTCACACACACGCACACACACTCACACTCATATCCACCTCAAGAAACTTATATTCTCATGATTATAACTATATCAACATGTCACTTATTTGCTATTAACATTTCATCTGAAATGCCTAATCACAGTACGTTTTATTCACATTCAATATACAATGTTATATGATAACTCGATGATAGTTCTTCTGACTGTATATCCTGAACGTATGTTGTCACATGAAGGAACAACAGCCGACTTGCAGGTAGGCAGATGAGTGTACGAATCGTAAGAAACAGCGTGTGTGATTATCTGAAGCGAAATTCTCTGTCGTATGTGAAAGACCAAAGTGCAATGGATTCACAAGCTAATTGTGTATGTAAAACACAATGCTCAGAGTGGAATACAATGTGCAATGAGTAAATTTCTAGACAAATCCACGTCAGAGGAAAAGATTGTCATTGATTACCATCCATTTAGAAAGATGAAACCAACTGAGATTTTATGATTAAGAAGATATTAGTGACATTGGATAACACAGCAACAGTAGGAGGGACATCGTCTTGATTTTCCCTCATTATCCAGCACTGATTGCACAAGTGACATACGAGGAGTAATTTTCACGATTTCAGTCTTAGATTAACAAATCAATAGTCTGCAGTCACCATCTACGTTGAAGGAAATTGTTAGTTGAAACTGTTTTGAAACATGGTTGTATATGCTTGCAAACGCATACCCCACATTTTCCGTTTCTTGTGTAAAACATTGAACGCTTCTTCAGTGACTGTAAACTCCTCCTCGAAACTTCCACATTAGACGAAACATCTAGTCTTGAGTACATTTCAATTTTTCTGGATGATATCAACAGATTATTTAAAGATATTAAGAGACAATATAGACTTCGACGTGAACGAATAGCAATTAGCGAATTATTGAAGGCGATCGGGCACTAAACAATTGTTCCCATCTAACTCAGGTGTTTCACACAATGTGTTTCAGCGTCTCCACCACGAATGGAAGCAGTAACTCTAAGGTAAAGACCCATCGATTTTTCTATCACCATGTTGACACCCAATGACCCGTGGATTCCACCTTTCCACAATTCGGAGTATATACCACCTGAGTGATCATATTCTATCCATGAGCATCCATTCTGCAGATATCACAGAACAGATTCTCCAACTGATGTTGGTTCGTGATGAAGTTTCCTCTAAAATTCATCAGAAATTTTCACAACACCCACAAAATATTTGAAAAGAAATAGATGCAACAACTCTGTTTGGTGTATAAACTCCAAACATGTTGACTGATTTCCCAATGTCGATTTGTACTCACTTGACTGACTGGATTTGATTTGGATTACGAGATGGCAGTCTTTAGGACTCATATCAAGTGAAAGGCGTGGATTACTGAACGGCCATTTCGTCTTCGTTCGCGACCCCATAGTTGCACGCAATCTACACCTCTACATGGATTCACGAAGCGAGGACGTTGACTGTTTTACCACTACTAGAGAATTCGATCACCTCATGTGTTCAATGTGTGGTGGGTTTGTGGGTGTGTGTGTGTTTGCCAATGAATACTCCTAGATTAAGGCCAAAAAACAACTCTCCAACACTCACTAGTCTCCAATTCTTCTCCAACTGATGTCACCTCATCACCTGACTCCAAACTGAAATCAATTACGAGTCGTTGAAACGCAGAGAAACACATGGACACTGAAATAGATCTACTCCATTTGAAGAATAACCTCAAAACACATGCAGACTAGTGTCAACTATGAGGGACTAATAGGCTGACAAACTAACTGACAAATTAACTCACTAACAATAAAATACATACTGTTAGACTACTATTCAAATCGATTATACCAGAGGCATTGTGTCGAATTTCTAATAACACAATTCTGTATATTATCATGCCTTCAGTTGCCTTTCGACATGGAAGAAATAAACCCTCACTACTTTAATGCATTCACTTTGATTTCGATTACAGCCAAACACGATGCCAAACTCTAGAATCAGTGATCAACTCGATATGGACAGTTTAACAGAAGTAATACGTGGCAGGACGAGTACGGAGACGGCGAGTGTTTCATCAAATCAGTTACAATTCACATTAACTGATCCTGGAAATTGTCACATTGCTGATTTGCCTGAACTTAATCTGATTCTGGATAAACGATATTTTCCAGGATTATTAGCAATGAAGGATGAAAGGGGAAGAAGAGAGGCGTGGTGTAATGTGGCATCAGGAGCTGCAGCTTATGCTTACAAAACAATCGGAAGTGGTTTATCACAGTCAGTGAGAAGGTGGCTAGCGAATGCTGCGTGTTCAGCGATTTTATTCTCTCTATTGGGTGAAGCGGAAACGCTTGATGAGTCTCGTCAAAATCCGGATTTCGACTATCAATTCTCTCCACATGGAGGAAACCCTGATGATATTGACGGTGACGATGGTGGTGCTGATGAAATTGTTGGTGACGATGAAGATGACTATGGTCGTCAGCATGATGATGGCGATAATGATGACAACAACGGGAGTGATTGGATTCCGCCGACTGTCCGACAGTCAGACGAAGAATCACCACCATCAACAAAGACGTATGTTCCGGATGGAAATTGGATTTATGGTGACTGGACAGAGAGTAATATCGCCAGTACTGAGGAGATGGAGACAGTCATACAACCAGAAATGTTGGATGACTGTGTCAGAGTGATGATTGCATCAGTCATCTGCTTCTTCCGTGAAGGTCAACACATTCCCCATCGAAGAAATGCGGAATATCCAATGCAAATCATTCAGAGTAACATGATGAATAGATATGGAGTAGTTGAGGAGTGTGACAAACTCTTCCTCATGTATACAACTGGCAGGTGGATATCGAAATTGAACATTTTAACGTCGGTCATGAAACAATGGAATAGTAGGACTAAAGTACGTGCTGTACGTACATTCGGTCTAGGAGTGGTATATATGCCTGAAATCATAATCGAATGCTTTCATGGTGTACCAGGTGGATGGACTGATGTCTATCTAGTCGACTGTATCGCTGAGAAGTTGGTCAAATCAAGATGTATAAAATACTTCAGTGACTACACGTCTTTGATATCACACAGGAGATTAGTTCACACACTATCTAACGATCCAATATACCACCACACAGAGAGTAAAACACTAACAGATGAGAAATGTTACATTGAGAAAGCCAATATTCCGTGTTTGTATGGTCGACTAATCACCTTCTTGAAGTATGCTGAACCTGACAGCGAATTGTTCACCTATCCTCAATTGAAGATTTTCGGTGAGACACGTGAACAATACTACGAGGATTACTGTGCGAAATGGGAGTCCATAGTGAAGTATATTTACTCCAGGGATATTGATTCATCTCATGTCTTTGATTCTGATGCATTGGATGGTGATTTGAAACAATTCAATCTTGTACATGATTGTGACGGAAATCTCCTCAATGTGTGTTTTCAAGTTTATGGTGTACATACATAGTTTATACTTGTATTTGTATTTGTTTCTTTAATATAATATAATCTGTTATCCTGAGTCACATTCTACCTCCCTCCGCATCATTACACTCCGTCGAGTTGATACGTCTCTTTTGACACGTCACCTTCTGTGATATCTGGAGATTATTGGAATGTTGTTTAGTTGTTGTTGGCTTGATGTGAAATCCAATGATTGTCGTTTCATCGTGTTTAACAGTTCTCAGTTGGACATCCCATCGTCCTCTCCAATCAGTGATAGCGTTACCACAAGGACTCGAATGAAGCAGACACAGTTCCGAACTCCGAACTATTATCCACTAGTTCACTGTGACTTGAGCATCATCCCTTGCGTAACGAGTGTCAGTTGTCATTTGTTTAGCTCACTCTCTGCATTCTCCGTCGATTTATTTCTACTGAAACTGAAATGCATTCATCATGTGTGATTAGGAACATCATCACTGAGTGTGGTGCAGACGTGTGCGTGTCCTGTTTAACGAGTTCGAAGTATCATGGAATGTGTGTCATTTTTTTGAGGGAGGTGTGTGATATCATGGTTGACATCCTGTCTGTAATAAATCAATCAGAATTTCGCCCACGCGTAATTTTAGTGATCAAGTTTATTTGGTTATGATCTAAACGCAATAAACTGACCTACGTTTCCTACTGTATGTCCGACAAAACTTCCTTGAGACACGTGCTATCACAAAACGTTCCCATATCACTGAAAAGACGATTATTCTTCAATATTTTAGCGTTTCCATCAAATACTAATCACATGAAACTCAAATTCACGTGAACAGTGCTGTGAAGCAGCTGGATATACACAGGGTGTTGGCTTCTAAATACAAAACAAGCACTATAAGACCACGTTTCAAGCACAAACTATTGCCACACATAATCATATCAAGTTACTCACACAACTTTGTTCTCTTATTTATATACATGTGTGCAATCGATTAGATATTGGAATAAAATCAGTATGAGATAATGTACATTCACAAATAATAATGATATGAGTGTTATTGACCAGTTACAGTTAGATGGGAAATAAGACAAGTGTTTCAATAGTCATTGACACATATAAACTCACTAGTAGAGAGAATAAAATTCACATTTGAATCAGAAAATGAACAAGGAGAACTAGCGATGCTGTTAGATTGTAAAATAAAACGAATACAAGAAGGTAAACTATACACTAGTGTGTACAGAAAACCAACTCATTCTAATAGATACTTAGACTTTAATTCATCTCATCCGTTAACTGTTAAGGCAGGCTTAGTTAAGTGTCTAACAAACCGAGCCGTAGTACTAAGTAGCACAAGAAAAGACCCAAATGATGAAATAAAACAGATAGAAGAGGCTTTGGCGTTAAATAACTATCCTTTAAATTTCATTAGGAAGAACATTAAATGCCAAAAACAAAATAAAAATAATTGTGACACTATTAATAATAACATAAATAAGAGAGAATATAAGTCATCTACAGTTATACCATATAAAGAGGGGACATCTGAAACCCTACGTAGGATTCTAAATAAAGCAGGAATTAGGGTGGCATTCAAACCTATAAACTCACTCAGGGACAAGCTCTGTAGGTTAAAGGACCCTGTCGGTTGACCCAATTAGACAAAATAATATAATTTACAAAAAATACCCTGCAATGACTGTGAGTTAAGTCGACTACATAGGTTAAACTAGTAGGTCAGGGTAATCAGACTGTCAGAACATAAGAATTTAGCTAAGGTAAGAATGGTTGACCCGAGAGGATAAGTAATATAGAAGAAAACTCAGCAATTGCACTTCACGCATTAACAAACAACCATACAGTAGTAAAGGTGGGATAGGGTTAAAATTCTAAAAAGTAATCTAGTTAGGTGGAGGTAGAGAGAGGTTGATTACTGAATCCTTGTTCATTGAGTCTACACCCAACACATGCAACAGAAATGACTCAATACAAATATCAGATATATGGGAGATATTATTACCGCCGGTCAAATCAGAGGAGGATAATAAATAATCTCAAATTGTATTCTATTTCATTTCAAACACATCACAACATTCTAACAAGTAACTTATTATGACTATAAAAACATCTGTCTTATTTCCCATCTAACTGTAATTGGTCAATAACACTCATATCATTATTATTTGTGAATGTACATTATCTCATACTGATTTTATTCCAATATCTAATCGATTGCACACATGTATATAAATAAGAGAACAAAGTTGTGTGAGTGACTTGATATGATTATGAGTGGCAATAGTTTGTGCTTATGTTTTTAGAATTTTTATTATATTATTCGTTGAAGTTTCTGTAGCGATTTGTTCGAAGAAGAAGCAAAGACAGGACTCCAGGTAAACATAGACAAGACGGAGGTTATAAAAATAACCAACCAACAACAGCAACAACATCCAACGTCAATCACCATCAACGGAGGGATTTGAAAGAGGTTACTTCATTCACTCACTTATCTAGCATTGAGCATTGTCTCAACTACAGGAGGAGCGGACGAGGATGTCAAATCGAGAATCGGAAGGCGAGAAACACATTCATCAGCCTGAAATCAATCTGGAAATCTTCGTCGCTCAGCCAGCATCACCAACAAAATTCGGATTTTCAATACAAACGTAAAGTCACTTCTTCTATACGGATCAGAAACTTGGCGGGCGGGTCACAAAGAATATTTCCAAAAGGCTGCAGACCTTTATTAACAACTGTCTTCGCTCAATACTGAAGATCAGATGGCCGGAAAGAATCACCAACAAGGAATTATGGGAACAAACAAAGCAAGAAACAATCGCCCAACAAATATGCATGAGAAAGTGGAGATGGATCGGACACTCGCTGAGGTGACCGCTGGGTGACATCGCGCGCCAAGCCCTCGAGTGGAACCCGAAAGGGAAGCGGCGTGTGGGACGTCCAAGGGTGACATGGAGGAGATCGTGTGAAGAGGAGTTGAAAGAATATGGATTAACATGGATGCAGGCGAAAAGTACAGCAGAAGACAGAAGAAAATGGAGACGTGCAGTTGAAGCCCTATGTTCCACTAGGAACCCAAGGGAGCAGTAATAATAATAATAATATAGTTTGTGCTCGAAACGTGGTCATCATTTAATATTACTGTACAACACCACTGTGTGACTATATCAAAATAAAATCTTATCCATCACGGAGTTATGCTCTACCGCAATTCCCAAGTTTTATACTTATACTGTAAGACAAAATTAGTTGATCGAAGTTCAACTGTAAAAGGTGCTGCATACATTTATTCCCCTTTGATGACTTTCAACAAAGCAAACACAAAACTTTGTGCTGAATAATTTAAGGCCATCAATTATATCGTTGGATTCTCTTCATCTGCCTAAACAACCTAAAAGTTGATTATATAAATGTACATGGAATTTTGTCAAGGATATTCAAGGATGAACATGATTTTTCAGTCAACACAGACAAATGCTGCTAATAAACAGTGTTCAGGAGTTCCACCTATATAACTTATAAATGAGAAGGTGAAAGTTCAAACAAAATACAAACATGAAAAATGAATGGTCAGGTACACTCAAAAAATTGAGTTGCTCAGTCAAGACGAGAAGAGAGGGATTGATGTTCAATAATAGTGTAGTGATGAGTTAAACTCACCACGAAGGAGATAAATGATGATGACCTGATATTATTCTGCACAGACATTTGCTTTTGCTTTGTAAAAGATACCTTAAAATTGAGAAGGATATTTCCAATGAGGAGCTATCAAAAGCCTCTGCTTTCCAAAATAATCACACACACAGCAACGCTTCACTCAGACAGACACTCCTGAGTCAGAATCACCTTCATTCCTGGCTCAAACAAACTCATATCGTTAAGCAACAGGTTGTCAATGTACACAACGACAAAAATGTGATACGATTAAAGATTGAAGAAGAACAAAGGCAAATAATAGAGGTGAAAAATCAATCTATCATATGCAAACGTCGAATTAATGATACACAGTCTAGGGGGAAAGCGTATGATATTCACAAAGTTAGTTGAAATGTCTAAATAAGTATCTATATTATGGATGGATCATTCAGCAGGGATTCTCCAAGCAATTCGCCGACCAAACTAATAACAACCAGCATTTTCTTTAACATCATTGTGGGCTAATGATCATATCCTTGTTGATATTTTGAAATGTAGATAATTGCGTAGAATATACTTTATGGCTCAGGTCGTTGTGTGTTCTCATTTAAGTAGTGCATATTGGGAAACAGGTGGCTGTTCTATAATATTGTTGGCATAGTCAAGCGACATCCACAATCAGCATGTCTATGTCCAACTCGGCGTCCCTATTTTATCCTCGAGATGGTAGATGTGCTAAGGATGGCGTCGTTGTTTAACACCATAAAATTGATTTGAATTTAATAAGAAAAATAATAATAGTAATTTACTTGTTATAATTATTTGTAATAGTAGTATTTGTATTTCGAGATGACCGAATTACAAGAATCCAACCAAAACACAGAGAGGGATGAATTTAGGAATTAGTATTTGGCGGAATTATTATTCAATTCATATAAGAAATATATTAACAATCAACAGTAAGTATTTAAACAATACAGAGATAGAAACTCTCAATCACCACATTCGCCACACGTCGAATGTCTCCTTGCTTATTTATAATGACGTCTCGGTTTGCTTACAAGTAGCTGCGACCTTCTAACTGATTCTGTGATATCGTTTTCATCAGTATCATCTAGACTTATTTCTGAATTACGACTTACTTCATTTATTTTTACTTGATCCAGGTGTCTGTTATGAACTGAATGATCTTCGATGTCTAATTTCTTCACCATTCGATTTCCCATTTTTTGTAGCATGATTCTAACAGAAGGTCCGTAATCATTCCCTCTGTAATAATGCACATCAGAAGTCGTGGACATCAGATGGTTTCTGAGAATTCGAGATATGAATAGTTTTGCAGGACTTTCATGGGTACTTGTATACTCTGCATTCAACAGACGCAGTCTATGCATATGCAGCGATTCCTACATTTTAATCAATTGCTCTCTTGTCTTAGTC